AGGGGCGTATTTTTTCACATCCCTGAGCGAGAAAGTTGCAGATCTGTAAAGTGCCAGTGTAGACAAGCCCTGACTCACAATGGGACTGATTGTACATTGGCTCTAGTTTTCATTTGTTTTGTAATGTAGAGTCCAAACCCTTGATGTTAGTTTTACGTATGAATTACACAACACTACAACTGTATTAATGCAAGAATTGCATTTTGCTTTCTGTACCACTACAGCTCATGTACCTCATCCATGCCAGAGGCTGTGAAGTAGATGCCTATCTCCTTTGCATATTTCTTTAGCTCTCGATACTGGTCATGACTGAACTCCAGATGGCGCTTGTGCTCTCCATAAGTCTTTCCCCAGGAGTGTTTGGAGGTATAGGGCCTCTCCAGGGCTTTCTTGTTAAATTTGTGCTCCAACTCACTCTTCTGGAACTTGGCACAGTCTGCTCCACACTCCTGCAAGACAGATCATCATCTTAGAATCTGCACAAGACAGGTGCCACTGAATCTATAGTTCGTAAGTACTGCTGAAAAGAATCACACAGAACCAAAGTAACAGTCTGGCTAACATTCTCATACGTGAAAATAAGTCTCAAAATAAGTGTCTTCCTATCTTTGACAGAACTAATGTAAGTAATTGTGTGAGGGTGACCATAAAAATAATTTAGGATAGCATGCAACAAAGACAAACATTTTTAAAACCATGTATGTGTACTGACAGCTAATCACATCAATTATTTCCATACTGAACATCAGCTTTCATATGGAAAACACTGATCCTCTATAGACATACTCTCAGCCTGGTAAATGTGTAAGTACATGATGGTAAGAAGAAGTGTATTAGCCTTGTGCTTCACTATGCAAAGAACTATACCCAGGAGAGCAGCAATTATCTGAGAGAAACAACACTGAACCTGCATTTTTCCTTTAGTTGAGTCACCTCCCTTTAGATATATTTTTAAAGTAATCAGTACTCAGACTTCTCCTGCAATGTGCATTTCTTATTTAACCAATATATCCCAGACTTTGAAAAAGAGCACAGCGGTAATATAAACTGTCAAACTACTAATGTATCCGAAGAAGTGGGCTGTAGTCCACGAAAGCTTATGCTCTAATAAATTTATTAGTCTCTAAGGTGCCACAAGTACTCCTGTTCTTTTTGCGGATACAGACTAACACGGCTGCTACTCTGAAACCTAAGGTAACTTTGTAATTTTAACAAGATTTCTAATTATATCAAGGTCCAATGATTCTGGAAGGAAAAATAAAAACATCTGGGGATTTATTAGCTTGGATTTGCTCAATCTGACCTTTATTGTAAATGTGGACTCTAAAACCAGTACATAGTGTTTACATAAGGTCAAGAGCCCAAATAAATTCTGCTTGGATTTCTCCCCCAAGTTCAGTCTGCCAATCTCTAATAGCTGCTGTTATAGGTACTGAAATCAAGGAAATTCCTGAGGTTGATTGTAGCTCAAACTTTAAAGAAAAAAAAATTATAAAGCAACCCAACTCCACTGAGTTCACTATCAAGAGAGAAAGAAGAGCTGGTAAATCACAGAGGTTCACCTCAATAAAGAGTGCTGTTTGGAAGTTCAGCT